AGAAAGCAAGACAGAATACATATGTCCTAACAGTAAGGTAAGCCATCTTTTCAGGAGTGCAACGCAGTGTAAACAAGACTACCTGGCAGATGAACGCGGTGGCAGCTCTAACGCGGCTCTCCAACGTTGTGACTTGCTAATGTGCAACATACACATCCCTTCTGCACCAACTTCAAATAACCCTGGGATCCCAGCAGTGCAGCTCAGCGACTCAAGCAGAACAAGGGCAGAACTTGTCAGGATTTAAGAGCTTTCAGCAAAACCCTTCAATTGCAGCCGGTACCCTATTCCATAGAAGGATATCAATTATAGATAGTGACTTGCTTTAGCAGGGCAGTCGGTACTGTCAGACACTAGATAGACAACCATGAAGAATCATGAATCTTTCTATTAACTGTAAGAGAGGGGGGAGGAAAAAGGATGGACAGGTGCTATAAATAAGGCAGAATGTCTGAATGGTTTAACACCTTGTCTTTTGGTGTATGTATCCTGAAAATTTAACCACACTGAATTCTAAGTGGCACATACTGCTTGAAAATAAAAGCTCCCGAACCAAAATCACTACAGTGTCAGATCCTTCTGGGTGGGTCAATAATGATTCTTTTATGTAGCTGTGTAGTTATTTATTCATAGCAGCCCAGGTTCTGTTCATAACTTCAGTCAGAAAACACTGTCTCTTGGGGCCCAAGCACACTTCCACTGGTGCCCACATTGTATGCTAGTAACAGGAGGATTTTGCCACAGAAAGCAATGCAGAAAAATGCCATCAAATGCTGACTATTGTGCCCAAAATTGCAATTTCTGCTCTAAAGCTATATCACATATTCAGACACAGATATGTTTGTATTTACCACTTCATATATGCTTCATATATCTCCCACGTAATGCAGATATTGCTAGAATCTGTTTCACTTACAGTTGATTTCAAAGTAAATTGGGTCCTGTCATTCCCCAAAAGATAATAAAGCTATCCTCACGTGACAGAAAGACCAGAATATACACAAATTCGTATCTACCTCTTTCAAAACACATGCATAGGTGCTTGTGTATACACCCTGTACACAACGGGAGCAATGACATCTAGAATGTGAACTGTGTGCATTGTGTATTGTGGAAAAACTCTCCTGAGCTTTGCTCGACCTGGCACTACTAGAATTCACGCTGAGGTATCTAACCCTTCAGGAAACCAAACAAACAGCTTGAAACATACTTCCATCTTTTCCCTAAACACTGCAGTTCCTGTAAAATTCCAGTGCTTTGGGATGCAAGGCTTGGATAACAGTTCATTCTGTGCCATCGGATGTTTTCGGTCTGACATCTTACTATTACGGCTACAAAGAGTAGCTTTATTCTCCTGGAAAAAACATTCCTCATTTGTTAAAAGACTTACTGATGGCCTGCGTAGATCCTGACAATTTAGCCTTATCAGGATGTATAAGAATGCTTTTCAGGTCTTTTTTCTGAAACGCTGCATTTTAAAAATTTCCTCTTCCTAGCTGAACTTCCAAAGCCCAGGGAACTGGGTTAGAGAGTTGTACAGGTGAAAGAATACTCTAAATACTTCCAAGTCAAATATACAAATGCATTTTGCTTTCTACTGAATATATGCTGCATATCACGTACTCATGAAGTGGGTGACAGGGAAGGGGTTTCTTGCCATCCTTTGCAAATTTCTACACAGCTCACTCCTAGTTTCACTCCACAGTTTGCTTGACTACCCACAGTCTAGGTAAGCAGGTGTATGTACAAAATACGATGTAGTGCCGCACCACATTAAATACCCACCTTACTTCCAGACACGTGACTGTAGCTCTCTGCCCACATTAATCGTCCCTGCTGAGTGTCACGGAATACAGGGATGCCGACACACGTTACCTGGATGACTCTTGCTTGGGAAGTTCAAGCCTTTATTGCCTTTATCTATGCCAATTGATGCCTTGGTGATTACCGCCCCGCAGTAGAGTCAACACAACAGGATGACTATCTATACTTTTGATGTCCCAGGTGACAGTCCACCACCTTACTTGAAAGCCCACTTCAAGCTTGGCTGGAGCAACCGCGGCTCTGCTGAGTCTGCCAGAGGGCTGGGAATCACCCGCAGAGCAGCAGCACGTGCAGTCAGGAGAGGCAACGTGGCAGAGCTCTGCTGTGAGATTTGAAGGCTAATATCTACTGTCCTGCAAAACCCTGCCTGACCCTGCTGGGAAGGACAGCATGATCCTAGCTACACGCCTACCTGTATACAGGCCAGCTCAGGTACCTCCAGACAACACCAAACGGTCCGAGGTACATGGCCAGGAGTCACAGGGTGAAGACGTCATGCACACATCAGGGTCATTCCCCTCCTTGAGTCTGAGCAGTGTCTGGCACCATGGAACTCCAGGCTTGACGAGGCCTCCAGCTGCTACTGCAGCGTAAATATTAGGGAGTAAAGGATGTCCTTACACCGCCGAGACAGACACTCTCTCCGTGCCCAGTATGGGTACACACATGCAGATACCAAGTCAGGAACTCATCCAGTGCAAAGACATTGAGGTAAGCGCAATTATGGCCATTTGTATCTACTTGGATTCACCCATGAGTCTTTAGGGAGGAGGAACACACGAGCCACATCAGTGGGGAGATTTTCAAGGGCCAAACCGCTGCTCAGGGACGTCACGCTTTCTGCCGGAGCCACACGCCTAAGCAAAACCAGGACTGCCCTCCTGTGAAGCTGCACCGAGACCTGGACTTCATTTCCCCAGCTGCTGTGGGTGTACATCCGAGGGCTGTAGCAATCAAGGGCAGACAAAATGTGGGAGAGACAGACCAGGGTGAAGGGCCAGACTTTCAAACAGAGTTAGATGTCTAAAGCCCTTTGCAATTCTGCACAGAAATAACTCGCTCAAGTCCCCACAGCAGGGCTCTGTCGAGCAGCAAAAGAAATCACAAACCAGGGCCCCATCACCGAGTCACGCTGACTCTCACAGCATGATTTGTGCCACTTAAATGTGATGGTTGCAATGATGATGATGATGATGGTTTTATTGTCTTCGGGGTATCGAGTCAGGACTTGCACCTCGTAATCTTATATGCCATCTAACATATCTGAACCCTGAGCCTTGCCAAAAAGAACTCCTTGTATCATAGAAACATTTTTTATCTCCCTTTTTTAAGTCTAGAGAAACCATTTCAGATGTTGCCATTGTGCGGAAACATAAGAAACACATATTTTTTCAGAGGAGTCTTGCTGTTGACCCTTATAATACAGTCAGATTTGCTATAAAAATCACACTAGAAACAACAAATGCATTTTAAAAACCCCAAAACAACCAAACTATCACACTGTCAATTTAATTCACCTTAAACTACAAAACCTTAGCTATTAGCTAACAGGCACAGTGGAATTCAATTAAATTTTATGTCTGAAACTTTAAAAAATCCTTTTCCTTCTCATCATTACCAAGGGCACCTTTATTCTGAATTTCTCTTTCATTCCATATATTTTGGTGTAAATTGTTTATCATCATCACTGGGATAATTTCTGAATTTTGAGAAAGGTTTGCCAGGCATCATAAAGCCTCGGTCTCACAATTCTTAGCAGACATAAAGACTGTGCCTGTGCAGAGCCCCAGATTATGTCAATCCATCTGTTTGCATGGAATCAATTGCAAGACCGACACTTGATCTTTTAGATGTGTCCAACCCTTTGCAGCAGCCGTTCGTATGGCATTTCTTCCCCAAAAGATATTACGACACTGAAAGAGTCTCTCCTCACATTTCACCTTGGCCTATTAACATCTTTGCGTATTTTCTGTGCAAAATGTGTCCAAAGGATTCTTAAAAAATGCCACATTTTTGTCATTATTTTAGTTTGCTATGCTCTTTCATTTATTATTATTGTTACTGTTACTAATCCTACCTAACAATAGCAAGAAACTGAAAATACATCTTGATGAGTAACTGCAACACCAAGAGGCTCTCACACTCCCGGAAGAAAAAGCTGGCATTGCTTTACTAAATTCAGCTTTGCAGCATCAGTTTACCATTTTGCATAGTGCTTAGAAATATATGGTCATTTTTTTGAATTTATTTTGGGTGGAAAAGTACACTTTTCAAAGAGCTAATACAGCAGTGTTGGCCACATTATGCAATAGATTTTGCACTATCTCCAGAAAAGTATTCCACAGTTTTCTACAACAAATATGATTCCGACATACTAATCCTTTGCTGAAGATGTTCCTCTCTAATCTGTACTAGGAATTCCTTTTTTTTCAGAGTATTTAAATACGTTCTATGATGTTGATAATTAAGAGAGGTGCTTCTAGCTAAGGAGGTTGGAAACGGGGGGGAATGTACTTGCCAGGTTATAGTCTAGACTTCAATCATTCATTTTTTAGCTTACAATACTACAAAATAATAAAAATAAATTTCTTTTGAAGAAGTGGCAGACAGGAAGAAAAAACCAAGGCAGATACGACTAGTATTTGGTGTAGTATAAATAAGAACATACAGTTTGCTTTTACTAAAAAGACTGAAATAACTCAGTCTCCATGTATTTAGCCAAATAATCCGCTTTAGTTTACACACAACAGTAAATTGATACCAAAAACCCCCTCAGGGAAGGGGAAGAATTCCCCTTACCCATCTCTACTGTTACAGTCCCCTTTGGGAGAAAAAATCAAACTTGGCTAAAGGTTAATAATAATTCATGTCCAGCTTACTATTACTCAATAACTATCAAAGTCTCTAACTCAAAATAGCTTTCGCTGGCTTACAGGATCAGAGCCATTACAATCTCTATTGAAGACTTTATTGAATTTTACACTAAGCTTTAGCTGACTGAACAGGTCAAGCACTGCGTCTCCGAGTTTTCTTTATTCTCAGAAACTCATAAACCCCTATCCAGTTCGCAGCGCTGTTAGCTAAGAAACTTGACTCAGCACAGGGTCAGAGAACCCGACCCCCATGAAAAAGGTCACGTAGTTTTAAAACCCAGTTCCTGAATACCATTAACTTACATGCACTAGCTGTTCCTGCGTGTCGAACTCCCGGGAACAGCCTTCCCAGTGGCAGTTTGTCTCGTAGACCACTTCAGGCTCCTGTTTGCTTTCATCTTTGTCCCCTTCCTCTTTTACCAGGGTCATTCCTTCTGGCTGTTCCTGGAGAGAGGAAAAAAACCAGGGGTGAGGAGAGGAGAGAGGAAATTCTGAAACTGGGGAGGAAGAAAAGTGAATTATTTCATCATTAAAAGAAAGATGGAGGCAGGTGCGTAGATTATTTTACTTTCAGTTCACTCTGTTACTTAATTTTACAAAATACAGAAGCCCAGAATATGCCTGGTAAGCCAGCAGGCATCTGCAGACTACACGCGTAAAATAAATTTTCCCTCCTCAGAAAAGCGAGAAGGACTCACTGCAGAGGATCTCTAAAAAAAAATAAATAAATAAAATCCCTTTACATTTCAATTAAAAGAAAATCATAAAGTCTTGGCTTCCCTTTCCCCATATTTAAGCAGTTCTTTATTTGTACACTTGCTCCTTATGATTCAGTGGCACCACTAGTGAAAAAGGCACTATTAATATAGTTGAATTAATTGGAATTTGACTTTAGTACTATGGTTAGACACAAATCCAATCACCAGTAATCCGAAGTGTGTTTTCATTGTTAATCCAGTGACAGTTTTGCACACAAAAACCTTTCCACTGGTAATTTTCCGGCTACTTGTCAGTCTGTTCTTGCCCATAACGCGTGCATGAAAGGGGTGAAAAAGGGAGCAGAGTATTTAATTTTGGCTTTTGGCTTTCCATCTTCAGTTCCCCAAGGTGCTCCATTCTCCTCAGTTTGTTATGTGCTCAGGGTGGGAGTCAGATGTTAGCACAAACATTTGGTTCAGATCATGCACTCACGCTATTTTTCCATTTCAAACCTGCTGAAGGATTTAGACAGATTTCTGCTTTGTTTTCACGGATTCACAGACAAGATCAAGGCTCTGATTCTGATCTCCCCCAAGTCACTGTAAATCAGGAGTCGCTCTACTAAAACCAGTGGCATTAACTGGTACAGAAAGGGCAGCAAACGAGACTGGAGCCTAGCACCGACACCTCGATGCAGTACAGTGCTGAGACCTGGTACAAGTCAGCATGGCATAAATACTCTTCCTGAACGGAAAACACGTCCTCAGTAAAGACCTGAACGCCTCTGGTTTGCTTTTCCATGGCGAACAGCAGGCTGAGCACTCTCTGACTGATCAGAGGCGCCTCTCCATCAGCCTCCGTCCTCCCTGCCTGCGTTCCGCAACGCAGCCCTGCAGCCCAGCCGCCCCTCTCTGCCCACCTTTACCCATGAGCTGAGGCCGCCCGCGCGTGCACGCGGTAAGGGGCAGCACGAGGGCAGAAAGCCTGCAGACACGTGCTACAGGCCAGGTCCATTTTCCCTCCGGCAGCGAGACGAAAGGCTTAAGACTGCAACCTCACCGCCATACCTGCACGCTTCCCGCTCCCGGGCTGGGGAGGTCCTCGTCGGGCTTGATCTTGGAGCGCTTGTTGTGCATGGGATCGCCAGTGCTGCTCACCGCCGATTCGCTTGTGGGTTTGTTCTGCTGCAGGCAGGGGTTTTTCCCCCAAAAAAAGACAAAATTAGACTGTAATAAATATGTAGCTCCAAAGAGAAATATGCAGCATCTGCTCAGGAACTTTATTTGGAGAAGACACACTGTTAATTATATTGGATATGCAATTACATTGTGCTTCAACTACACAGCATTAACTTGTGGAAGAGAGGTGTTGCTCAACCTTGTAATGGAGCAGGGAGGGAATAGAAAGGAGAGCATTTGATGTAATTCCTTACTACAAACCAGTGCTGGGCCAGGGAGGGGTAGGAAGAACTCGATTTTCCACATAATGACGACTCCAGAAAGGCAGTTTTGAAAAATAAAATCACTGTGTTCTAGATTGAATCAACACAAGAAAAAAAACGTATTTTTCAGACTCGGAGGAAAGCTTTTGCACTTCACATCTGCACACAAGATCTCAGCTCTTTTACTGTGTTTCCTGTTATAACGGGGGATAGAGGAAAAACTGAACACTGGTGTGAGACTCTCAGCTGAAAAATCCTGGATGAAGTCCTGGATTCTCCCAAGTCAAAAGCAAAACTACTGCTGACATCAACAGCCCAGAATCTTGTTTTGCTCTTGCTGTGCTAGACTGAGCACCATTATCTACACCTGCAAATGGATCTTGTAGGAATCCTGAGATCTTTTCAAGATATCTGAACCTGCACGGACCCCACAAAAAATCAATATGCTTCCTACAGCAGTATGTTCTGCTTCTACATTTGTAAAAGCTAGCCAGGAGATAAACAGCTCCCAGACTGATAAATAACCTATCCCAGGTCATCTGGAAACCAACAGCACTAGTTAATAACAGGCAAATCATGAACCGCGATAAACTCCACACTATGGGCCTGATTCACTGCTGCACATCTCCAGCTTTTGAGAATACACCTTGGTTTAATGAAATGATTAATTCAAACTCACTAAGTCCAATTTTGCACAAATTGGAGGAGAAAAAACTCTTAAAACCCTTCAAACCTCTGCACTATCTTTGAGTTCCCCTGGTGCTCACAGAGTTACTCACTCTGAGTTCTTCACACCTGTGTCAGAGGGCAGAATATGACCCTGTGTATATCACAGCCAGCCTGAGTTGGAGGTGAAGCCGCTAATCTTTAAAATATTAGTGTTTTGATGTGTTTTTTCCCCCTTTTCTCACTCCCTACCTCTATTAAAGTTCCTGTCTAAGATCCAGGAGAGACAGTTTGGAATGAGAAGCCGCTGCAGCGCGCTGAAATATTTATGAGGACTAAAAAGCACCCTCCCATTCAGAGCCGCGCATATACTCCTGTGATTTATAATAAAGGGACGGCAAATGCTATAGCTGCAAGAAAACTGTTATCGAAGGGTCTCGGTGACAGCGGTGATTAACTGCCATCGAGACAATGTCATTTATTTCATTTTTACATTAACGGGGTGCAAAGGTTTCTTTAGTTGTCTCTCACCTGTGTGGACTCAGAAGGTCCAGAGCTGACTTGGACAGGGTTCAGGACAGTGGGGATGCCAGGGATAGGTCTCTGGGTAGGAAAAGTTGGAGCAGGATGGATGAGTGGAGGGCTGTGTCCAAAGGCTGAACCTAGGGTCTGCTGACGACTTATGATTTGCTGATGCATTTGTTGGAGGGATACCGGTGTAGGAGGGTATGTGAAACTCAGAGCAGGGCTGAATTTGGGAGAAGAAGGAGGGAAGAGGGAGGAAAAAGATGAGGGTCATTACAGTATGGAACCATACAGATTAAGCCTTTAGAATATATTTGATATATTTACATTAATTGAAGTCAGGTCCCTCCCTCCCCCTCGTATCTTTCTTCATGCCCCAAAGGATGACAAATCCTCACTTTAAATCCAGAGTTGGCCTGGATTTACTAGCGAGTGCAAAAACGATACCATAACAAAACACAACATTTTTTCCTAACGTTTACCAGGAAATCACAGAAAGCCAACTGAAATAAAATTCAAAAAACCTGAAATAAAAGGCAAGCAGTTCAATAACAACTATTTATTGCAATAACAAACTTTATATAAAGAAAAAGAATGGGTGCCCTACATGCTTTATAGTACTTTTATTGATAATGCAGTTTCCCTATGTTCGAGCGTATGAAGCAGTTCCTTTAATCTTGGCTCACACTACGCTCTTTCATATGTCTCTAGATCTTATTACAAGGGGAGAGAAAATCAATTGGTTAAATGTGTTCTGAACACCATGCTTGTCATATCACTCATTTGTTTGCAAAGATGGAAAGCTCAGTTCATCCAGAATGTCACCTAAAGAATTTCCATCAGTGCCGTCTGGTTACAGAAACTGATGGATTAACCTTTCCCCTCTGAAATTGGTGATCAATGAGTTTCAATGTAGAAATATTCCAATGGGAAAGCACTTCTCCTTCTTCCAGTTAAACAACATTAAATGTCTATTAAAACCCATTATGCATGTTAATACCTGTCATCACTTCATTACCTCACCATATTTCCCAGAGTACAGCGACTTTGGAGGAAATTACACCACCATCTAAGGACCTGTTTTGTCGGTAGTGCCAAAGCATTCTTTGTGTCACACTCGAGAAATAAATGGTGTGGAACTAAATCCTCACACACAGGAATATGAGATTCTCCTGTAAACATTTGCCAATAACTTATAATCATAAAAGAGGGGGGGAGGAAGAGCAAGAAAAAGTCTATTCGTTAATTATTTTTTATCCTTAAAAAGACCACCAAACAACTACAGTTCAAAAGAGCCATACAAATTTAAAACATTAAGTCTTAAAAGAGAGGGGTGCAAGCATAAACGTCTTTTAGGAATCAAGGCTTCTTCTAATATAAAACGGGTGGATTTAATCCAAATTTACCGTCTGGAGTCTTAATTGCTGTTGCTGTTAAGTGCATTAACTGAAAATACTGTGATATAAAAAAAGCTAAAACCATTTCAACCATTTTAAGTAATAATTCTACAGAAATTCTGTGTTCATTAATCTGACCATACATTTTGTCTGTTTGACTACAATCCATAAAGACACAGCTTCAATGTGATTACATTACTATTATTCCTAGTGAGAACTCTGCATTACAATAGTTTGCCCATTTAGGACAGAATATCATTAAGAATACCCTGGGAGAATTTTACTGTTCTTTGAGGAACTCTCTTTTCATTTTGCATTGTATTCTTTTTAATAAAGGGAGGCAGAAACGTAGTGAAAACAGTAATTGTTCACAGCAAGAGTTAGGGAGAAATCAGTAATAATATTCAGTTATTGCAGCTCTATAGTCGCTGCTAGTGTTCCTGTAAGCAACCATGAATGATTACAGCACGACTTAGCTAAGGTAGCCACTATGGATGATTGATAGGACATTAATCAAAAGATGCATATCAGGCTCAGAATTTGTTCACAAGCTTTCTTCTAATAGCTGATTTCATGTTCACTGAGCTCTATGCCAGTTTGTTCAATTTATTCTTCAGTGTACAAGCCATTCATCACAGAACACAATGATTTAACACCCCTTTTCCTTTTTAGTGAACAAACATTACTAAGTGTAACTGCTCTGGTCTGGTCATTAAAAAACATACAATTACAATGTCATACACGAGGCTGAAACAATGCCTCCTGACTATATTCCGGCATTTTTCGCTTCCATACATACACTGTGAGTTCATCTCACACACTTCAAACACCAGACGGCACCATCCGGAAGATGCTATCAAATTCACCTAGAACAACCGACGCAAAATAAAAAAAAATTGGATGAAGTGTTTTATTTCTCTGTGAGTAGTGAACACCTAGGACATCTTCACCCTTCAGCTGAATCAGTTTAAAAGAAAAAAATAAGTGTACTGATGTCACTTGGAGCTCCAAGCACATAGCACCCTTGAAACACAGGGCTTTTTTTTTTACCTTTGTAGGTGTTTAAGCATGCACAACAATACCTAGCTTTGCAAGTCCAGGTTCAAAACTTTGGTAATGTTCTTCAGACCCTACATGGTAAAAAAGACAAACATACGATTCAGCCACAAGACACCACTGACTGCAGACCTCAGCTCAGAGATGTAGATCCTGCCCATCACTGCTCTGTGACTACAGTTACACGAGCACCTGCATCTAACATTAATTTTTTAACCTCTCCAAAGCCAGAGCACAGGAGATCCCTCCCAGCCAGTTCAGGAGGGGCAGGAAGGAACTGCTGTGATCTGAATACATTTTCATCTCAGTAGGAGGCTGTAAGGTGCCACTGACTAGAGACTCGGGAACTTGGATGCTGAAGAGGAACCTCTGACCCCGCGTAGGAAACAGACTGCAGAAGCCCTAAGATGTATCCGTACAACTTGCACTTAATGCAGCTCACTGACATTTACCGGAGTCTGACACTACTCTCAACTCAGTGCCTCCAAAGGTGGGACAAGACTGTCGCGTCAACAGGGTGGCTTTGGTCAAGCATCCCTCCTTGGCTTTGGTCAAGCATCCCTCCTTTGCATTCTCTACCCCATGCAGAGCAACACAACAAGTGATGATGCCTCCCCAGTGGCAAAATACCTTCCTAACTAAAGGACAAACGCACCTCTGCTTTACCAAACACAGAAGCTCGTTTCGCTGGCCTGCAGCAACACACCTTACACCAGTACAGTGCAACTGCTTAAACATTAAGCAAGCGTATTTGTTATCCCCCCCCAAATAAAAATGGCTTCCACCAAAAGGACAGATATTACCTCATAGAGATGTCCTCTTTCTCTGCATCTGCTTTAACACCCTGTGGAGCCTCGGGAAGGAGGTGCTAAGCCAGGCATTGCTGACTTTTGTCCAGCTTGCAAGCCAGCAAACTTGCCGGGTACATCAGAGGAGACAGACACCATCTCACCTAGGGGCTCTGACCAGAAAACGACGACACCAGCAGCAGATGTGTTAAGACACAGCTGGACAGACACGCTAAGTAAAGGAAGAATCCTTCTTGCTTTAATATCTTCCTTTTGTCCTGTGCTCAGCAGCAAGACTTGAACCTGAGGTACTAGGATTTTCCTCGAGCCTGGCAACCCACACTCCATTCCTTCCACCTCGAAACTTCAAACATCTCAGACTGAAATGAAAAGGAGATTGCAAGGGAGCAGAGGAGCAGGGTATCAACTAGCCAGCACAGCTATGGGGAGTAGTCAGAGACGGTGACAACGGTTCAACCACCAGGGTGACTTCTTAAATAGCTCAGATAGCTGCCTTCAAATAATTCTCTCCAGCTGTTTCCAGAGAGCTCTTCAGAAGGCAAGATGACCTGGCTGGGTTTAACATCACCCTCATGCAAGATGCTGTCACAGGGCAGCGTGGGTGATTTTTCTGATCTGAAAAGATCAGAAGCATCTGAAGAGAATAGAAGGTGGCAGGTCTTTCTCTGTCTTTCAGAGACTATTCAGGCTGCTCGACAATAAAGTTGATGATGTGGGCCAAAAAGAAGAAAAATAAATCAAAGCGCGCAGCATTACTGGCATGGAGCTCTCTGTTGAAGGGGAGACCTGGATTCCTGCCCTCGTTCCCAAAGTTTTTACTGCATTTTGTTCAATAACTCTTGAATATGGGATGTGTGAAGAATCGCCATAGCCCAGAGTCCCCTCACACCCCTGCGATCCCTCTGCCTTGACCAGCAGCCATAAGACCTCTTGTTGGCCCCACCAAGCTCACGCTGCTTTCTAGCCAGGAGGCCAGCACCAGCAGGACGGGTGGGCAGCAGTACCACCTGGCCTTGCCCAGTCAATCCAGCCATGTCTGCTTAGAAATGTGCACCAAGATGGCACCGGTGTTGCTCAGTAACTGCCTAAAATTGGTGCCCAAAGGCAGTAAACCAGACCTCAAAGTAATCATTTTGAGAGTCCAGAACTACTAAAACCAAAAAACAGGTTTTTTTTCAAAAGCGATGAATGGTTTCAGATGCCTCAACTTGTGTCATGTTTCTTTTTAATATACCTTAAAGGACCTGAATTTCAGACAAGGGGTGCTCAACACTTCCAAAGTCCAGATGCCAGAAGAACACAAGATGCCTGCCCCAATCGTTCACATTTTTCAAAACACCAGTCACTTCCAAAAAATCTTGGATTCACAGAAGTGTAAGTGAATTATTAATCTTTTCTTCAATCTACCTACTGAAAAACGAAAATCTACACCACTGGAGGGAATCTGAATTTTATTTCTGTTACAGACTTTTTTTTTTTAAACAAAGTAGAAAAGGAAAAAAAAAGATGATGAACGCATGTATGACCACTACTAAACTACATGCAGGTTATCTTTTTAGTTGCTGAGTTTTGTGGGGGATAAGGGTTAGAAAAAACGTGTAATACTTCTGCTTAAGCATTCAATAACTCATATACACTGACAGAAAAGCCCATCAGCGATACCATTTATTTTTCTATACTGTGGGCTGCTGTGTCTGTCTGTCAGTCTGTCTCTCTCATTCTCTTCTCCTCTGCGAAGTCTCAAACTCCCTTCACTTGAGGTAAAGCAGGGCATTGAACTACACTGTAATTACATGAGCACATCAAATTTTAAGGAACAGGCTTCAAGAAGAAGAAAAACAGACGTTATAATCAAAACCAAACTTTGTGGCTACTTTGTGGCTGTCCTGCTAACAAGGTCATCCAGTTTCTGGTCACAGCTGCGGAATTTACCGCAAAACAGCTGTGAATTCAAGTTAGGA